GCAGGAGGGAGGGAAATCACAAGAGGAAGAAACAACTGCTCTGGATTCCAAAGCAAGTCAGCACGTACACACGTGCAGCCCGCAGCAGCACCTTGCGAGCGAGAGATGGGAATGGCTAGCTAGCAGGCGCGGTTGGCGCAGACGTGAGCGGCTCCGAAGAGCGGGGGCCCTAACAGCTTGCAGTTGATAAGGCAAGCTATCAAGAGCGCGCATGAACTTGGGACGAACGTTAAGTGCTGTGGGATGTCAATATCCGACAGGACAGGCTTGGAGGCGACAGTCCGACAGCAGCAGGTCATGTGCCGCCGGTGGCGGTTGCGCGACCCCCAGCCACAGTGGTAGGTGATAGAGGAACCAACTGCTACTGGTTTGGAGGTGTTGCTCATGGTGGGATCCAGCTGGTGTGTTATATGTTTGGCGGAAAATAAACCGCCAAAGCCTTTCCTTGGAGCAGCTGAGCGAATACTTTGCACGCTCAGAACGTAGCTTAATTCGAAAACATAAGATAAGAAAAACTATCTGAACATAGCAAGCTCATCATATTCAGCATGTTGGTAACAGGGCAAGAGGAAAGGATGGCAACCCTCGGAAACTCGCACGAACTTGCAAAAGCGATCCTCGAGCCTATGCCTCGCTTACGTAATAGCTATTCAGTCCAGTGTTATTCCGCTACCCACTGCTGACATATTCAGACGCGCTGCACCAACGACCCGCGGGGCCGCTGAGCCCTCGAGCGTGGTGACAGGTGCCCCCGCTTGCATGCGGCAGCGGTCCTCACCTGGTACTGCTTTGACTTGCTGGTTGTTTGCAGCAACAAATAGCAATAGACACAGCCACAAGAAGTAAGGAGGCAAATGCGCCAGAGCACAGCGTCCGGCAATTGTCGCTGCCGACCGCGCTGCTGGGCGCGGAGCGCTGGCTCGGCTTCGGTAGGGCAGCCCGGGATGCATGTCGACTGACCCCTGTTGCAATGTCCAAGATGAGATCAACCTTATGCAGTTCACGTCGCTGCTGCGCGGGCTCTATCGATGTGCCTCTGTCTCTGGAAATCAACCTAGGCAGGTGTGACAGCCATCAATGGCCTCTCAGACGTCTACCGACCCCAGATGTCTTTCCTCGTTCTGAAGGTTTGTTTCTTATGCTAAAAAAAGTACATCGGGGCTGAGGCTAGCAACTGTGGCCATGTGGAAGGGCGGTGCGCTGGGGCCAGACCAAGCTTATTTGATGTACGATGGGTACAGGTCGGATTTCCTCGGATGGCGCCACGCCTTCTTCCCTTGATGATGAACCGTCCCTCCAATTTGAGTTTCTTCCTGCATGCAGTCCATGGCATCGCACAGCTTCAGTCACTGGGCCCCAGCGGTGTTCCTTGCGCGCCACACACCCGTTAATTGTTCTTCGGCCGGCTGTTGGCTGCCAACCGAAGCTGGCTCCTTATGCGCTGCTGCTACTCGTTCACATGCACAGCTTAGCGCATAATGTATTCCAGGATTATGATGCTGCCTCGGAGCGGCGTTGACGATTTTGCTCTGACTCCTTCGCGCCGGGCGGTGTACCCTTAGCAGCTATCAGAACACACAGGACACAACCTGCCGCTGTATCAATGTATTAAGGAAGGAACGCAACGTGCTGGCAGAGCTGCTGGTGAGAATCTATGGTGTACTTGCTCAATTCTTCCCTAAGTTTTTTTTCCCGAGGCCAAGCTGCCTCCCTCCTTCATACCATGCACAGCTTTCAACAGTGTGCACGTCGGTCCCTCCAAGAAAGGCACCCATGTACCAAATAAAATAGCGGTGGTTGAGAATTCCTCTCGAGATGCTGTGCATCAAGATTTCCTCCTAAATGGCCTCATACTGGCAGTTTCTTCCCCTGGCTGCCACTACCACTATACCAAGGTGCTAGATCAGCGGGTGGCACCGCTCGCCCTTGGGGGCCCAACCTCCCCCAGATACAAGCAACGCGATACCGACTGTTAAATATTACGTCAAAACAACCATGTGGTGTATGCATATGTCCATCTATCTGCTGCTCCTCACCTATAGATTTGCCGCACAGACCCGTGGGTCATCTTTAGACCAGAGGACGGTGCAACCCACTTACGTATACATGAGCCATGACGAACAGCAAGGACAAGTGCTCTTGATGTGTGAGAATAGTAATAGTATGCTTACCTACGTTCACCAGTCCGTGGAGTTCAGTACCTACCAGCCCTTGCAGGGGCGCCTACACGCACGCATGTCCCTACCACTACCACTACCACTACCACTACCACTACCACTACCACTACCACTACCACTACCACTACCACTACCACTACCACTACCACTACCACTACCACTACCACTACCACTACCACTACCACTACCACTACCACTACCACTACCACTACCACTACCACTACCACTACCACTACCACTACCACTACCACTACCACTACCACTACCACTACCACTACCACTACCACTACCACTACCACTACCACTACCACTACCACTACCACCTACGTACCACACCAATCTAAAGTAACCCAAAGCTGGCTACTGCCACCACCACCACCACCACAGTGATCCAGTGGTGAATAACAGCAGTGAGGGGGTTCGCAATCCGCCTTCCGCAGAGATACACACATACCTACGCACGAACACTCAATAAACAACTTAAATTCAGCCATTGTGATTGTGTGTAGTAGGGGGTTACAGCGTCACCCGTGGCCACTAGCCTGCTGGTAGTGCCTACCTTCCCCGACGTTTCGGGCCACTCTCATCATCATCATCATCATCATCACCCATGAGTGCCGACTCCTGCCGGGTCACAGCGACTTTTTCAGGTGCAGCACCACCACCACCATCACCACTTGAAAGCTAGTAACCCGTCTCGCAACATAGCTGGCCACGTCCCGCCAAGGCTACTGAAGTTATCACTGGTCAGCAAGTATTCCCTGAAGAGCCCCTGAAGGGCGGCCACCCTCACTGCACCAGGGGTCCCAGCCTTGCGTGTTCACCACCCGCATCCTGCTGCCGCCCCTCAACCCCAGCAGCAGCAGCAGCAGCAGCAGCAGCAG